CCAGAGAGATGTCCTGGGTTCCGACACTTAGTGTCACCATGTTGCTCTCCTTTTATGTGTTCATCTTTTTCTTTTCTCTGACTCAGGAGAGAATTGGTGTCTGTAGGTTCATTTGTTTTCAAGTTCTATCAGTTGGAAAACTTTATAGAGATCTGGAGTGCTGCAAGGTTACTCCTGTCTGGGCTCTGCATGGAGGAATTGCTGGCCATGCCTTTCACTGCTAGTGGCGTGGTCCACAGCGGCACTGTGCAGCCACACCGGTCATTGGCTCCATGTCACATCTCTCCTCACGTGAGGCACCAACAAGGAAAAGTTGCTGCTGCCGTTTCTGCCCTTCTGTCTGCAGCATGGCTGGCTAAAAGCGGCCAAGCAAGTACAGTTCATTGTGAGCCATGCTGAGATGGCAGCGGCCATGTGGCACCGCCCCGGCTGTGCGGTCCCAGCTGTGTGGCCTCTCCTGGACCACGAAGGCAGCAGCTGCTCCTGGCCCTGGCCACTCTCAACCTCGGCTGCAGGGCTGGGATTGCCCCCAGTGGCATGACCCAGCAGCCCCTCCAAGGAAAGGGCCCAGCAGCCCCCCTTGGGAAGGGGACCAGTGGCTCTCCCACCATCTCTCCAGGGAAAGGGAAAGATGAATTGCACATCTTTTTCCCTCATTAAATATGTCATCACAGAGGCATTGCTAACTTCTCTAAATGGGCCACCCCATACGCCAATCATCAGAGCCTTTAGGGATTGCCTCTGCTGGACATAGTACAAGTCTAGAGGAGCCTCCCCCTCAGAAGCAGCTTCTGTGGCTTTCTCTGCCACCATACCAGCCAGGTTCTGCTAACCTAACACTGTGCAAGGAAAGCATATTAGAGCTGCTCGTAAACATCTACCAGTATCATTTTCAAGGAACACAAGGCAGGTTTAAATACAAAACTTATCGTTTTCTGCAATCCTATACAAAATAATGCCAGCTCCCATTTTAGTTTTCAATGGAAAACCAGTGAATCCTCAGAATTTCCGTTTGCAGTTTACTAAAATATACAAGGAAGCAGTTGATGAAATGCAAAGTTTCTTTGAATTTTACTCTTTATTTTCTCTTTGCTTATGAGTGTTTCAACATTTCAGAATTTATCAGATTAAGTAAAATTACTCAGCTTTTTCAACATGATGATTATTTATGATGCAACCACATAAATTAAATGAAAAGTGAAAAAAGACACAATCTCTTGTATCTAAGAGGCCCACAACAAATGAGGAATATAAAGGGAAAGAATAGGAACATTACCATTCCAGATCTAAAAAGATAGACCAGTTTTGTTTGGGGGTTCCTTGCAGATTGATTTTGCTTGAAGTTCTCAATGTTTTACAATTGTTTATGCTCAAGCACCACATGGGGCAGGTGACATACATTGGGCAGATCAAACTGTGCTCCTCTTTGTGGCTGAGGTTTGCAGATGCATTTAATGGATTTGGAAGTCCAGTTCCAAGATGAGAATTTTCTTTGGGGGATTTTGACGCCCATTTCAATAGGGTAACTGCCTCGGGCTGACTGAGATGGTAATATCCTGCCTGGAGGTGGGGATGGTGCTTGCAGCAGCCTGGAGAAGGAGCTGTTGGATAAGTGGGAGGGAGCAGAGGTGCAAAAGCAAATGATGAGCTCATAGTTCCTGCCTGGGGAGGCCTGAGTGTCTCTGAGCCTTCCACTTTGCCCTGTGGCAGCAACAGCTGGATTGGAGCAGCCTGCCTCTGGCTGCAGTGCTTGGGAGGTGTAAATCCATCAGGATGGATGGAAGACAGGAGCAAACAGGATCCAATGCAAACAGGATCCATCAAATGGGCCACAGAAAGTTATAAGGGGACTTGAGCACCTATGGAGACAGGCTGAGAAAGTTGGGACTGTTCAGCCAGGAGAAGAGAAGGTTGTGTGGAGACCTCACAGCCCCTTCAAGGAGCTGAAGGGGCTACAGGGAAGCTGGAGAGGGACCCCTCATCAGGAACTGCAGGGACAGGACAAGGGTCAGTGGCTGCCCACTGCCAGAGGGCAGGGATAGATGGGACGTTGGCAAGGAATTCTTCCCTGTGAGGGTGGGCATGCCCTGGCACAGGGTGCCCAGAGCAGCTGTGGCTGTCTCTGGATCCCTGGAAGTGTCCAAGGCCAGGCTGGACAGAGCTTGGAGTAACCTGGGATAGTGAAGTTGTCCCTTCCATGGTAGGGGGGGAACTCAGTGATCTTAAATTCCCTTTTATCCCAAACCTTTTCTGATCTATGAAATAAGCTTCCAGGCTTCTTTATCAAGCTCCTTCCAGTGAAGGTATTCCCAGGTCCTGATTTTAACTGAACCTGGATAGCATAGAATATTGTTCTTTCACAGAGCACTCCTAGTTAACTTTGAGTCTGGTTACATCAAAGCTGCCTTCAGCTACTCCCCACATTCGTTCTTGCAATCTCCACGGCCCTTTGGATGAAACTTCCCTCTGTTGATTTCCCTTTGTCCAATTGAACAGGCTATTTCCTCTAATAAACAGCTGCTGCTGTTGGGATCCATTTGCATTTGTTTCCTGTCAGGAACCAACAAACAGGGGAGACACACTGGGGCAAAACCAATCCACAGCTTCTGGTATGCAGCACAGTTTTGGGATAATTAAAGTGCTGCCAATTAATTCTGTGTGCAGACCAGTGACACAGGGTGTGTTTGCCTGGGCCACGCTCTGTTTGTGGCCGTGAGTTACAGACAATTGCATGAGAAGAACTCACATATTTGTGAAATGTCAGGAGATGCAGCCTGCAGGACTCAGAAGTAGGGGGAAGTTAATCTTTAATTTCTCCATCCTTCTGCACAGCTGCAAGTTCCAGGGGAATCCAAATGCACTCCCACCTCCACAGGCAGGAGATGCAGGGCTATGGGCAGGTGTGAAGCTCAAGGATTAATAATTGTTTAAAAAAAACTTCAGGGAACTGTAGAAAAATTAGTTCCTGCCCTGTATGATGCTTCCTAAGGCTTCTCTATCTCTCTGAGGAATCTCTCTTGAAGTTTTTGAGTGGGAGGAAAACACTTAAAACATGGCATTTCCTGACAACTGCCCACCCTGTGATCTGCATTAAAGCAGGGAAGTGATGCTGCTGGTGGGAAGGAGGTGGAGTAGGCAGGGAAAGGACTGGGCTCTGAGGTCTGCAGGTGAAGCTGCCCCGTGGCCCCTGCAGCCTGGGGTGGGTCCCAGGAGCAGCACCAGAGCTTTGCCTCGGCCGTCATGGAAAAGCAGGTGAGGCCAGAGCAGGGACACTGCAGTGAGAGCACTGCAGACAGAACCAGACAGGTTCTGAAGAAAAAAATACTCCCCAAAAATTCCCTCGAGAACCAGCAGCCATGCTGGTGTGTGCTGGTGTTGCCCACCACATTCCGAGGCAGCGCTTCAGACCCCCAGGGCACCGCTGGGACAATCCTTGTTACCTGTGGGAGCAAGGTGAGAGCTGAGGCAGGGTGGAGGTACTGACAGGGATGAGCAGCCCCAGGAATGTTTGACTCCAAAGGCCTTTCTCACAGCTGAGGAGTTTGCAGCTGCCTCAGGGCAAAATCATTCTGAGTCTCCTGGGCAGCTGCACAGGAGGAAACATGCAAGCAGATTTTGGGGGTATATGCCTTAAATCCCTGAGAGCTTAGTGCCAGAACATCTCTCAAGATCTTGGTGAATGTGCCTGGTCTCCTGCCAGGACAGAGCCCAGCAAGTTAATACCTGGCACACAAATGGATTGCAGTAGGGAGGTAGCACTAAGCTGGTTTGTAACTTCTTTGAGATATCAAAATAATATCACAGGGATAAAAAATTAGCTACTTTTAATGTGGGCTACTCCAGATTTGGAGTTTTTAGCCACACTCACCATCAGTGACACAATGGGTGAGGTTCCCAAAGTTTGCCTGCTCTGCACCTTGCTCTATTTATGCTAAGTGTCTGCAGCCCCCCAGCCCCTCACCTCCTCCTGTCCACGGCTGTCTTAGGCAAACCAGGCACCAAGGTTTGGAGGAGCCTGTGGAGTCGTTGTACCAGGGACCTGACACCTTCCAGCAGCCCCCACACCTTCTTCACCCTGCAAAAGCAAAGTACACAGGCTGAGTTTAGTGATGGCCGAAGGCAGCAAAGGGGAGGTGTTCATGGTAAATACACACTGTAATAATCTTTTCCATAACCAAGAGATGCTGTGGCATTCCTGTCAGTTTGGATCCCTTGGATCTTGCCTTCAGAGAACACCAAACCCCTCCATGTGTCCCTTCAGCCCCTGCTAAAGGCACAGCCCCTGGTTTGTGTGTCATTCCCTAATGCCTCTGCTGGGATGCTCTTACCCCTTCCTGAACAAGGCTGGGAGCCTGTAGGGCTGCAGCAGGACCTTTGCCAGTGGGTCCTGCAGTCCATTCACCTGCTCCTTCTTCCACAAGCCTGCACGCAGGAATGACAGCACAGAAGGAAATAAAGACCAGTAATTAGAAACTATGAAATAAATGCAATAACTCCTCTTGCCCAGGTAGGTACTGAAGCCCAGGCCAGCGTCCAGCTGAAGCCACTCTTACAAAGTCTCTTTGCAATAGAAATATTTAATAAATAACTCAGTAATGTCTTAAATGTAACACTGCTGCTCTTGAAGGCTGCAGCAGCCCTAAAGCTGAGCTGAGCACCCCAAATCCTCTACCTGGCAGGAAGTAAGGGGTCAGGCACTGAGGGACCCTTTTGTACAGGCCGGGGTGTGTCCCATTGGATTTTCCAGAGTCATTCTTCCCACAGGTGCTGCCGAAGCGGAAATTGCCATCGAAGTAGTTAAAGCCAAAGGCATCTGGGAGACATGGAGAGAAGGGGATGATGTTTGTCTGCGTCACACCGAGGTGCCCCTTGGGTCCTGGGGTGCACTTACTGTTCCTGTACAGGAAAAGGGCAGTGTCCTGGTACCCCTGGGAGAAAATGTCGTTCAAGACCTGCAAGGAGAAACACTCAAGGTCATTAAAGAGCCCTGACCCCAGTCCTACAGGATCTGTGCAAAGCTGTTTGACTGTGGAGGGCTGGGGTGGCCCATTTGGGAAGGCAGCAAGCACTGGTTGGTTTCCAAACACCACAGCACCAGTCAGAGAAACACAGAATGATTTGGGTTGGAAGGGACCTTAGAGATCACCTGGTTTTGTCTGGTCCTTTGCAGGTTGTGGACCCCATCCCAAGCTGCCCACCCATCATCAGTGTCCCTTCCCCAAAATGTACTGCAAAAACAGTGGGTGCTCTCCCCTCCCTCTGAAATCCCATTAATTAACAGTGGAGATTGAGCTGAACCTTAAATCTTGAGAGGGCAGGAGCAGCATTACTCTTCTAACCAGAACTAAGCTGGGAGAAGTCCTGGTGGGCTCACCATGGTGCTGGGTGGAAAGAGAGCGTAGCTGATCCTGCAGAGGTTCTCTATGGAGATCTGGATGCTGCCGTTGAAGATCTGGAAGCAGAAGAAGATGGCGGGGCAGTCGCGGGGGCAGATGTCCAGCTCGCCGGTGAACGGGGACACGGTGATCACGGGCTCCTCCAGGCTGGACACGGGCTGCAGGCCCGTGAACCCTCCGTCCACGTAGCGCTGGGGGAGGAGCACAGGCAGGGTTTGCTTTGGGGCCTCTGTGGTGTCACTGGGTTGGGAGCTAGCCGCTGCACAGGTGACATTCCTGTCCTGAGCCCATCCCAGCTTGTCCTCCCCACTTCTGTCCCGCCTGTGCTCTTTATCCCTTTGCCAGCTCCTTCCCCTGCCCTGCCTGTGGCACCCAGCCAGCTCCTCGACCAGGTCTGTAATCCACAGCAGTTATTAAAATGGAAATATAATTATTTTCATTCACAAAGCTTTGTACAACAATTTTTGGCAGACAAGAGCCAATTCAGACATCACTGAATGCACAGTGTTTTATAACTTTCAAGTCCTGAGCTTGAGCAGTAGGGCCCCCATGTTTAATAATGGTCTGCAGATTCATGAGGTATTACATACTGGGCAAGGAAAATGTCAATTGCTCTATTCCAAAAGGAATCTGGATTTACCACCCACCTCAGTGGTTCTGGAAGTTGCAACTGATGGAATTAAATGAAATAACAGGGGAGAGAGGCCTCACAGAGCAATCACAGACCTGGGGATGGGTTGGGTTGGAAGGGACCTTAAAGCTCATCCCATTCCACCCCCTGCCATGGGCAGGGACACCTTCCACTATCCAAGGTTGCTCCAAGCCACATCCAACCTGGCCTTGAACATTTCCAGGGACCTTAGAGACCCTGAAGGGGCTCCAAGAGTTGAAGATGGAGTGACAGGGAGATGAAGGGATGGAGCCACAGGACAAGTGGGCAATGGCTTCCCACCGCCATTAGGGTTAGATGGAATACTGGGAAAAAATCTTCCCTGTGAGGATGGTGAGGCCCTGCACAGGTTGCCCAGAAAACACTGCCAATGGAAAACACTGCCAGTGGAAAACGCTGCCAATGGAAAACACTGCCCCAAGAAAACACTGCCGCTGGAAAACACTGCCAATGGAAAACACTGCCAGTGGAAAACACTGCAAAATGGAAAACACTGCAAAATGGAAAACACTGCCAATGGAAAACACTGCCAATGGAAAACACTGCCAATGGAAAACACTGCAAAATGGAAAACACTGCCAATGGAAAACACTGCCAATGGAAAATACTGCCAATGGAAAACACTGCCACAGGAAAACACTGCCAATGGAAAACACTGCCACAGGAAAACACTGCCCCTGCAAAACACTGCCACTGGAAAACACTGCCAATGGAAAACACTGCCCTTGGAAAACACTGCCCTTGGAAAACACTGCCACTGGAAAACACTGCCAATGGAAAACACTGCCCTTGGAAAACACTGCCAATGGAAAACACTGCAAAATGGAAAACACTGCCACTGGAAAACACTGCCCCTGGAAAACACTGCCAATGGAAAACACTGCAAAATGGAAAACACTGCCACTGGAAAACACTGCCCCTGGAAAACACTGCCAATGGAAAACACTGCCACTGGAAAACACTGACAATGGAAAACACTGCCACTGGAAAACACTGCCACTGGAAAACACTGCCAATGGAAAACACTGCCAATGGAAAACACTGCCAATGGAAAACACTGCCAATGGAAAACACTGCCACTGGAAAACACTGCCGAGCTCCTCCTTCCCCTCCCTCAGACAAGCAGAGTATGGAAATGCTCAGGGCTGGGGGAGGATCCTCCCACGAACTCTCGATGTCTCAGCTGTGCAAGTCAGCACCTGAGCCGAGGGATGAAGCTGCACTGCAGACAGGCCCTGCCCAGAATAGCTGGATTGTGTCTCAAGGTCCCACTCTGGGTGTCCTCTTGTCTCACTCAGACATCCATAAGGTCATCCACACTCTGTCCATGGGCAAAGCAGGAGAAGGCTCTCCAGATGGCAATTCCACCCAGCTGTCATCTTAGGATGTGGTGAAGAATAAGCTGATGGACTTTGTCATCCTCCATCAACTAAAGGAAAAGCCTGGACACACCTATCCCTCCCTGGTCTATACATTCCTCCTTTACTGAGGAGTGTAAAGCTCAAACCAAGAACACCCTGCTGGGAGTGTGTGTTTTAGTGGAAATATCACTCACCACTCCTCTGTAGGATGGAGGGATGAATCCACAGTAAATTGGAAGAAAGCAGCTGCAGAGGAGAGCCTGGGGAGGAGAGGGATTGCAGAAGTCAGTGTTCCTGTCAAAGTTCTTCTGGACAAAAGCTGCTGATGTGGTGCCTGAAAATCCAGCCTTGACAAAGTCTGGAACCAGGCTGTTGGTGCCACCTGGACTTTGCTGGGGACTGTGGCAAGAAAGGCTTCAAGAAGGGGAAAATATCTGATTTCACCGAAGTGGAAACATTTCTCTGGAGCAGAGAACAACACTGCATTTTTAAATTTTATAGCTGCCAGAATGAATAGTCGTAATGAATAGTTGTAATGAATAGTTGGCACAGACGTGCCAACTGGACACAGTTGGACACAGTTGGGACGTCTGTGTCCAACACTGTCCTTTGATGGTGGCAAGCTGAAGCTTTGGGGCCAATTTCCATCTTTGCAGGTTTTTGGACAAAACCAAGACACCTTCACAAGGTATCCTCACCCTGCTGGGATTTGTCAGTGGTGAAGCCACTGCTGGGGCATTTACAACCACTTCCCACCAATGACATCAGCTGGGAATGAGCACCCCAGGCTCCTGGGCTACCTAGAGGAGGCACCATGGAGTGAACTCCAACACCTCTATGGAGCTGCCATCCTCTGCTGTCTCCCTGGGACAAGGGACCCAGGACTTCAGGGTCAGCTCTGTTAGGATTTTACCCTGGTATTATCCCCCCAGCAGATAATTTACTGGTTAATGAGCTGCTTGTCGTTTAGCAGCAGCTTTTTCCAGCTCTTTCCTCCCAGGAAAATGCTGAGGCAACAAGAAAGCCATTGCCAGATGGCTGAGGAGAGACCTGTAGGGAGAGCTGAGAGGTCACACCAGCACTGACAGGGCTTTTGCAAAGTCACTATTAGAGCCCCAACATCAGCTCTATGAGGCTGGAAACAAACCTGCTGCTTTTTTTAGCATGATTTGTTCCATCTGATCCTGGAACTCAAACCTTCCTCCCCACGCCCAGGCTCATGGAGCCCATTGGGGTGGGATCATGGCTCTGGCAGAGCCTCCTGACTCTCTCCCCATCTCAGGTAGAAAAAGTGCAGTTAAAGCCAGCAGCACTTGGGTATGTCCATCCCAGGCAGACAGACCTTCCCCACGTCGCTGTTTAGTAGGAAATGACAAAAAGACAGTCAGAAGGCTGAGTGGCATAAACACGTGTCCTTACTTGGAACTGCTTTTATACACTGATCGATACAGGTGGACCTATTGGTCATTTAATCAATACATTTCTCCTGACTGGCTAATTAACAAGATGCCCATAAACAACCTTATGAGAATAACAAGAAAACAGACATTATGAAAACAACACCTGCGTTTTTTTTAGTAATTGGCTATCATTGTTTATCTCCAACTCCCTAAAGTCTCCCAGGCTGATTCTAGGAAAACTCATCTAGTTTTCTCACTCTCTGACCAGGCTGTCATGTCCACACCCATGGCACCAGAGGAAGGTCTCTGCACCTGAATGAGCTCCTCCTTGGAGCTGAACTCCGAGGCCATGACGTTCTGGCCGTCCACCACGCGTGTCAGTGAGATGTGCAGCCGCCCTGAGGCCAGCAGGTAGGAATCCTCGGGCAGCATCCGCTGCAGGACCGTCTTCAGATTGGCCAGCAAGCTGCACTTGGGAGACAGGGGGCCCAGGATGGTTTTCCTGACTTCTGTTGCCAGTGCAAAGAAAAACTCCTTGAGGTCATCTGAAAGAAGCAAGGGAAAGATGGAGAGAAAGCCAATATTCCTGCTGCACTGACAGTTATATTTTAAATCTTATTTTTAACACTCCTCACAAATAAAGCTTCTTGCAGCCCCTCTGTGTTACCCCAGGATGGTACTGCTGCTACAGTGGGGGACACTGAGGCAGGGCAGAAAGGGGGGCATGACCCCCATAATGTCCTCAAAGGACATCATGTCTTTATGTGACCCCAGTGGTGAAATCTCCACCTGCACCAGGGATGGGGCCTCAAGATGTTCCTGGTCGGGATTAGGGAAAGGTTCCAGAGAGCCCCACAAGGGGGACACTGAGTTATCCATGACAACGTGACTTGCACGACACATTCCTGTCTTCCACCTCCAGTTTTCCACGTGGGCAGCCCCAGGCTTTACAGGGAGCTGGGCTGGCTCCTGTGTGAGGATGAGGGGCACCAGTTCTGCCCAGGGGAGTGAAGGTGTCTCTGCCAGGTGTCCTGGCTCCACATTGCTGGCATTCCTGGCTCACCTGAGCTCCAGGGAGGTGTTAAGAGCCATGACTTGTGTCTGCACATGCCAGGAGCTGGGTTAAAGGAGCAGAGCCCTGGAGCCCTGGCCGAGGGCTCAGGAGACTCCAGGTTTTAAAGGTTTCATAGTGATGGGGAGGAAGAGGAGTGCAGCAAAATCTGCAGGCAGCCTGATCCCATAGAGGGAATTTGGTGCCTTTGCTGACATGGAAAACTCACCAGGGGTGAGTGAAACCCTTGCAGTGAAATTTGTCCAGCACCAAAGCTGCAAAGAGCTGTCCTTGCTCCCAGGGCTCCTGTGGGCTCCCTGGGACCCTGCAGCAGCACGGGGCCACGGGCCTGGCTCAGCACCAAGGCTTTGCAGGGGCAGAGGTTTCCGTGCAGTCTCATGGGATTGTGTGGACGGACAGACGGATTAAGTGCAGTGTCCTGAAGGCAACTGGAGCAACACAGGCGTTAAGAGGGGTCATGTGTGCTTGAGCAGATGCTGAGGCCACACAGGGCAACGATTAACACTGGGCAGGTTTGCACAGAGGGGATGCTGAAAGGGCCTGACCTCCAGGGAGGAGGGGCATCCCAGGTCCCTGTCTGGCTGCTCTGTGTCCTGGAAATGGGGGAAAACATGGAAAAACTGCCCACAAGCTGCTGGGTAAGAGGTGAGAGCCGAGCCCAGCTTTGCGGAGCGAGTGAAGGATGAGCCTGGCAGCAATGTGACTGTCCCTGCCTGCACCAGCCTGGTGACAAGCATGTCCCCACGAGGTGACTGGTGGGGTCACAGAGGACAGCCTGGCTCTGGGAGCTCAGAGCTCCTCAGACAGCCCAGGGCAGGGGACAGACACCTGACTGCAGCCACCCGTGAGCCACCAAACACACCTTTCACCTTCGTTCTGACCCAGTCATCCCCAGCATGAATGTGACAGAGCTTGTGCCACATTCATTGTCCTTGTTAGAAACCTGACCAGAGTCATCACTATCCAAAGTGTCTTTTGTTCCTCTGGGGAAGATATTTTGGGCACAAGATCATCTCAGCCCCTCTAAGTGGATGGTGATTTTCACCTCCAGGGAAGCAGATTCCAGTTCAGATCCAGTTCAGGACTGGTGCCACTGGCAAGAACAGTTGCTGAATGTATTTGTACTGCTGGACAGCCCCAGCTCCATCCATTACAGCTAGCAGGAGAAACCAGAAAGTTTGGGGCCCTTGCTTATTTGTGGAGGAGTTCATCCCCACGTGGGTAGAAATGTTCCTTTCTGCCTTATCTAAACACATTTGCCGATGTTTTGAATTATTTTTAGCTGCAGAAGAACAGTTTCAGCATCCACCAGAGGTTTCAGGAGCCATATGTTCCCTCCCAGATTCCTCCATCATTGTTTGGTCCCCAAAACCTTCTGCTCCTCCTAAATGTCCCCATTGCTTGAAGCAGAACTTGGATCAGGCTTTAGAGCCTTAAGTCTTGTGTACACTTGTTTACACATGGGCACTAATTGGAAATATGGGAGGATGTGATTATTAAAAGTGGATTAACTACTGTGAATTAATTCTACACATCTTGTTGCTAGAGGGGCCTGTTTCCACATGGTTGAAAGAGGGTCAGAGCAAAACCCCTTTAGCAGCAATAGGAGAAATTCCAGCCCTGGTCTGGAGCAGACTGCTGTTTTTCCAGGAATATCCTGCTGGAGCACCGGGGAAAGGTGCACCTGGAGTTGGGAATCACACATCTCCCCTTGTCCTGGGAAGGCTGAGGGGGATCAGCAAACGAGGCTGTCAGCTCTATAGATACCTGTGTGACAGCCACTCGTGTCCCTTCATAGCCACACATCCCAAGAAACCTGATCCATAGGGAAAAGAGGGTTTACGTGGGTAAATCCAGCCCCTGGGACTGCACAGGCTGGCTTTGGGACACACCTCAGCACCCCCAGAGCAGAAGGGCAGGAGATCTGCTCCTCCAGCAGGAGCAGGAAGAGGAGCCAGTGGAATATGGAATTTGGAATGACAGGCACATCCAGATTTCCCCCTGTAATTTCTGCCCACTGAGCCAGGGAACACTCGGGCTGTCAGAACCGGCTTTTTCACCTCCCAAAACTGCGCCGTGCTGGCTGCCAAGGTGACAACACCTTGGGTTTCTGTAATGCCTGGTGAGTGAGGAGAATTCCACCAGCCCCACCACCCCCCAGCACCCCGAGGCATCCCCCCAGGGTTTGTGGAGCAGAAGAGCTCCTGGAAGGACTCGGGGCCGGGGTTTTCTTACCGAGGCCGACGCCGCACACGACGGCGGCAGCGATGAGCGACCCGGCCGAGGAGCCGTAGACCTTGCAGGCAGACTTGAGGAGCTCGGGAGCCAACTCCAGCAGGGACTGCACCACCCCAACCTGGTACAGGGCCAGGAAGCCACTGCCCGAAAAGGAGAGCGAGAAAGGGGTGCTGGAAGCCCGGAGATCCTCCACAGTCATCTCGGGATCACAGCAGCGGATCTGGCTTGAGATCTTGGGGTTGTCCTTTTCCACCAGGTGAACCTCAGGCTCTCTTCTCTTCTGCTGCCTCCAGGCTCATCTCTAGCTGCAGAGGAGTCCAGAAGATGGATTTTCTGCCTTCTTTTATGACAGCTCCCCGAGGCGTTGAGATTCGCGAGCTATTTTAATTGCTGCCTGTGCTAAAAACAGAAATTTTCCCCTGATCAAAACAGCTCTTATAATCCTCAACCACAGCCAGCTCGGATGCTCAGGGCTGAATCAGGGCTCCTCTCTCGTGCCAACAGGTCTGCAGTGCCCCAGGAGCCCTCCCAGAGAGGGTCCTGGTGTTATTGTGCCCGTCACACTTGGGAACGTCTGTGCAAAAATTCCTCTTCGCTTCATCCTTCCTTCATCAAAGGGTGTTTTCCTAAATTGGATTCTCCATCAATCCCAGCTTAGGCACAGCTCAGTACTAAGTGAGTAAAGACTTGTATAAGACACTTAAAGCCAGAGGGTGTTACACAAGGGGTGGATGCAGGGCGTTACATTGGGTTAGGTTTAGAAATACTCCTTAACTTTGCTCCCTGTTGGAAGGGTTTTGCCCTTGCCTGACCCTTGGATATTGTTTGCATCAGGCAAAAACCAAAGACCTGGATTTGCTTTTTTCTCCCCTCTCATTAAGGCCTTACAGTAGTACCACATTGCCCAGACCTGTGGTTATTGAACGAGAATCAAACTGCCTTTGAACTGTCTTCACTGCCTGATTATAAAACCAGGGAGAAATGCCATAGATTTCTTGTCTTTTCAGCCTTAATGATCTGATGCTGCTGCCAACATACAGAACAAAAATTGCCATTTTAACAGATTTATTTATTAAGCACTGGTAAATATTGTCTTGTTTCTGTTGTCCAAATCCATAGAGCTGCACGCTGAGAGGAAACATTCCCTGGGTTAGAATTAGGGCTGTGTATGCAACACAACGTGGGCATGTGGGCAAGGAATAAAGCTCTCCTTCCCTGTGTCCATGTACCAGCCTGGCCAGAACAGTGCAGCATGGCCCAGCATCCTGATACCACCTTTGCAGTGCTGCTTCATCCCAAATTTTCATACATTTTCTCCTGCCTTCTCCAGCCATGACTGTGTCCCCAAGACAGGAATTGGAGCAGAGTCCCCCACATTGACATGCAAAATGTCCCTGGGTTGAAATATCACCAGGAGCAGCAGGTGGACATTGCCTGGAACCCCCCAGGTAGATATCACAGCATGGCCAGGGCTGGGTTCTGGTGCTCCCTGGATGTCAGGACACACAGGAGGAGGTTGCCAGCTCCAAGGTATATTTAGTAATGAATGGGATCATCCTGGAGGTGAACAACTGCCTGAATTAGGGCTTCTGGATCCACAGCCTTACTGGAGGCCCTAATTTCTTGTCTTTCCACTCTCTGATGTTTCTCATGATCCCCTTGCTGGGTGAGTCTCCCACACACCCCAGCCTCTCCACCAGCCTCCTGGAGATATCAAAGCTTTGATCTGTGTGATTGGTGCCTTTGGCTCCTCCAGCCCTTGGGAAAGTAAATCCCTTCATTTAAAGGATTTTCTTCCAGCACTGGCAAGTTCATGAAGGACAAAACTATCACCTGTTGTTGTGACTGGTCTAGACACGCCAGGGCACTGGAAGTGCAGAGGGTTTGTGTGTTCTAATGAGTTGTTCCCATGCTCCCTGTGCATTAACTGCTCCTATTGCTTGCCTCAGGCCCCCGGGACTCCATCAGGCTCTGCACAAAGAGGTGCAGGATGCTCCTGCTTCACTCAGCCCTTGCACCTCCTCAGCCATGCCCAGCCCTGACTGCCAGGGTTTGGCAAAGGTGTAAATGATCCCGTGGGAGCTGTGGGAACACACTCCTCTGTCCACACACAGCTCTGTCCTGCACTCAGTCACGGGGGCTCCTCCAGCAGGGCCAAGGTGCCATATCTCCCCCGCACCCTCCCCAGCTGCCAGCACCACGGCCCGGGACAGCATCCAGGAGGCATCATCCTGCCTGGCTCAGTTCCATGCTCCCGTGAGATGAAACCTTGTCATCATCCTCTTAGCAACAGCAAATTTTGCATTAATTGGCTCATTAAGTGCCAGGCTGATTTTCTAAGCTGCCCTCCCCCCGCCCCTGCACTCCCAAGCAGGATTAGTGGGGACTGACAGCTGTGGAGACACAGGATCCTGGGATGGTCTGGGGAGACAGCCCCCAGCCCACAGGAGCCCTGGCTGGGCTGGGGGCTGTGCAGGGCTGTGTTTTGCCCGGGCAGGGTCCTGTGGCTGCCCAGATGGCCGGTGGCCGTGAGCCGGGGATTTTCGTGCAAGGTGATTGTCTTCGCTGAGGGAAGCCACAACGGGGTGTTTAGGGCAGGATGAAGGTAATGCCAAGAGCTGGAAACGGCTCAAACCCCCAGGACTAATAACTTGCCCTTCTTTAAAACCTTCTTAATATCTTCAGTGGTCACAGGCAACCAGGTCCCAATTTTATAACCAGGAGATTAATCCAAGGTGCTGGGAAGGGACCTGGGCTCCAAAAGCCACCAGCCCTGGGGTGCTGCACGAGGGCAGCTGTGGTTCTCCCCGCCTCATCCCACCATGCCCAGCTGGAGCAGCATCCCTGCACACTGGGTTGGGTTTTCTGAGAGCAGGAGCCTCTTGTGCAAGGGGCTGGGCAGGTTTTGGCTCCTTGCTTCCCCAGCACGGCTGCCCCGATGGGTGGGAAAAGGTCCCGTGGCAGAGAAGGAGAGTTTGGTTCAGCTGTGGTATTTGGAATAGCACAGGAGAGGGGAATGGGAGTTTTCCTCTCTGCTGTTTCACCTGGCAGGTGCATCCCATGTGCTGATGGAAGATGATAACCTCTGGGACAGAGGATATTTGACTTTCCACTGGGTAGTCCGTGAGGAGACAAAGCCCTTTTCTGCTCCATGCAAATCCCAACACATCCCTGGCACAGCACGAGCTCAGATGCAAAACAAATTGGGGCATCCTGTGACCCTCTAACCACATCCCAGCACCAGCTCACCCAGCCCAGCAGAGCCCCACGGGTCTGGGCAGGGAACGGGAATGTCGGGGCTGTTGCAAACAGACGAGGGCGGTTTCAGTCTCTCCCACAGTAAAATCTCCTGGGTTGGTTTCCGGCCAGAAGGAATCGCAGTGTTGACACTGCACTCGTTGTTGGCAGGAGCCAGGAGTGGGATTTAATGTTTTCCACACTCTAATTACCCCAGGCTGAATTAGATGGAGCCCTGCATGTTGTCCCCCCTCCCTCGGCAGCTGGTGACTCAATCCTGTGGCTGTCAAACACAGCCCTGAAGGCTTTGGGGACGTGGATCTGGGTGGGGAAGAGCTGCTTCTGTCCTGTGAGGGCTCTGCTTGCCCTTTTTCATTTACTTTGGGTTTTAAAAGGACCAAGAAGCTCAGATCCTCCAGGAGAGGAGGTGCTGGGCAGAGCTGGGCTGTCACCAGTGGCCCGTGGGGGATTTTCACCCCAAATGTGGCAGTGACACAGACCCACACATTTGTTTGCCACCACCATCACCTTCAACCCACTAGAGCATCCCTCCTGCACAATGCAAACCCAAAAAGTTCATCTCCTTCACCCCAGGACAGCCCCACCCTTGCAGAGGAGATGCTCCTGCTGCTGCCACCATGCCGAGCCCTGGCAACCCCCCCACCCAGCCCAGAACTGCCTTAATCCATGGCCCTACTTAGGGGTCTGGGCAAAGATTAGCTGGAAACATTCCCAGTGATTAGGGCTTAAATCTCTTTGGCATTTCACATCTTCTTAGAGCTCCTAGGTGAGACCCCAGCAGCTGTAAATCCCCTCAGTCCCTGTGGATGTTACAGCTCCTGCACCGCCTGGGAATGAGCTTTACCCAGTTCTTGGTGTCAGAGCAGGCTGCTCTGGGTAGTAAATCTCCTTCTGCTGGAAAGGGAAGGCCTATAAATTGCAAAAATGGCAGGACAACACTGTGTGTCTGCTCTCAGAGTCCCTTGTGCCACTTGGAATCTGGCTGGAAAGGAGCAGCCCACAGCAGCTGGAGCAAAGCAAACATTATTCCATCTATAACACAACTCCCAGCAGACAAGCCTGGCTGGCATTTAGGCACCAATTTATTTGAGTTTTAGAATTTTTTTCTGGATTCTTGGCTGGTAGCAGAAAATACAAAAATTTTGCTGTACATTCACAAATACATTTAGAAAACAGGTAAATAAATACATATGTACAAACAGCAACAACCCCTGAGGTTCAACACAAGCAGTTGGCAGGAGCTAAAATATAAATACAGGGTGAAATTTGGACTCTGATTTACTGACTTTTCACCCCCAGACAGGTGGAGTTCAAACATTTCACACTGTTGGTTCTCCTGAAAAGATTTTAAATCCACAGCTCAGAAGGTCGCTCCACATCCAGGTCACCATCAGGGATTGTCCTCCCACCACAAATGTTCATCCTTGGCTTCCCAGGCACCACGGGCCCCTCGCAGCAGCTGTCAGTCTGGGCTGTCACAGTGGTCTGTCCTGAGCTTTTCTCTGTTCTGCTGTGACAGAAGAAATATGCTCAGAATCATGGAATACTTTGGATTGGAAAGGACTGTCACAGCTGAGACAGCCACAATAGACAGAGTATCACCATACAATATCAGAAGGACTGGGTAGTCCGTGAGGAGACAAAGCCCTTTTCTGCTCCATGCAAATCCCAACACATCCCTGGCACAGCACGAGCTCAGATGCAAAACAAATTGGGGCATCCTGTGACCCTCTAACCACATCCCAGCACCAGCTCACCCAGCCCAGCAGAGCCCCACGGGTCTGGGCAGGGAACGGGAATGTCGGGGCTGTTGCAAACAGACGAGGGCGGTTTCAGTCTCTCCCACAGTAAAATCTCCTGGGTTGGTTTCCGGCCAGAAGGAATCGCAGTGTTGACACTGCACTCGTTGTTGGCAGGAGCCAGGAGTGGGATTTAATGTTTTCCACACTCTAATTACCCCAGGCTGAATTAGATGGAGCCCTGCATGTTGTCCCCCCTCCCTCGGCAGCTGGTGACTCAATCCTGTGGCTGTCAAACACAGCCCTGAAGGCTTTGGGGACGTGGATCTGGGTGGGGAAGAGCTGCTTCTGTCCTGTGAGGGCTCTGCTTCCCCTTTTTCATTTAGTTTGGGTTTTAAAAAGACCAAGAAGCTCAGATCCTCCAGGAGAGGAGGTGCTGGGCAGAGCTGGGCTGTCACCAGTGGCCCGTGGGGGATTTTCACCCCAAATGTGGCAGTGACACAGACCCACACATTTGTTTGCCTCCACCATCACCTTCAACCCAGTAGAGCATCCCTGCTGCACAATGCAAACCCAAAAACTTCATCTCCTTCACCCCAGAACATCTCCACCCTTGCAGAGGAGATGCTCCTGCTGCTGCCACCACGCCGAGCCCTGGCAACCCCCCCACCCAGCCCAGAACTGCCTTAATCCATGGCCCTACTTAGGGGTCTGGGCAAAGATTAGCTGGAAACATTCCCAGTGATTAGGGCTTAAATCTCTTTGGCATTTCACATCTTCTTAGAGCTCCTAGGTGAGACCCCAGCAGCTGTAAATCCCCTCAGTCCCTGTGGATGTTACAGCTCCTGCACCGCCTGGGAATGAGCTTTACCCAGTTCTTGGTGTCAGAGCAGGCTGCTCTGGGTAGTAAATCTCCTTCTGCTGGAAAGGGAAGGCCTATAAATTGTAAAAATGGCAGGACAACACTGTGTGTCTGCTCTCAGAGTCCCTTGTGCCACTTGGAATCTGGCTGGAAAGGAGCAGCCCACAGCAGCTGGAGCAAAGCAAACATTATTCCATCTATAACACAACTCCCAGCAGACAAGCCTGGCTGGCATTTAGGCACCAATTTATTTGAGTTTTAGAATTTTTTTCAAACTGGATTCTTGGCTGGTAGCAGAAACTACAAAAATTATGCTGTACATTCACAAATACATTTAGAAAACAGGTAAATAAATACATATGTACAAACAGCAACAACCCCTGAGGTTCAACACAAGCAGTTGGCAGGAGCTAAAATATAAATACAGGGTGAAATTTGGACTCTGATTTACTGACTTTTCACCCCCAGACAGGTGGAGTTCAAACATTTCACGTCTGCTGGAAAGGGAAGGCCTATAAATTGTAAAAATGGCAGGACAACACTGTGTGTCTGCTCTCAGAGTCCCTTGTGCCACTTGGAATTTGGCTGGAAAGGAGCAGCCCACAGCAGCTGGAGCAAAGCAAACATTATTCCATCTATAACACAACTCCCAGCAGACAAGCCTGGCTGGCATTTAGGCACCAATTTATTTGAGTTTTAGAATTTTTTTCAAACTGGATTCTTGGCTGGTAGCAGAAACTACAAAAATTATGCTGTACATTCACAAATACATTTAGAAAACAGGTAAATAAATACATATGTACAAACAGCAACAACCCCTGAGGTTCAACACAAGCAGTTGGCAGGAACTAAAATATAAATACAGGGTGAAATTTGGGCTCTGTTTGATTTACTGACTTTTCACCCCAGACAGGTGGAGTTCAAGCATTTCACACTGTTGGTTCTCCTGAAAAGATTTTAAATCCACAGCTCAGAAGGTCGCTCCACATCCAGGTCACCATCAGGGATTGTCCTCCCACCACAAATGTTCATCCTTGGCTTCCCAGGCACCACGGGCCCCTCGCAGCAGCTGTCAGTCTGGGCTGTCACAGTGGTCTGTCCTGAGCTTTTCTCTGTTCTGCTGTGACAGAAGAAATATGCTCAGAATCATGGAATACTTTGGATTGGAAAGGACTGTCACAGCACGTCACAGCTGAGACAGCCACAATAGACAGAGTATCACCATACAATATCAGAAGGCTTCAAACATCAGCCCTTCTTGTTCTTTAGCCCAGCCTTTTATACCCTCATGGTTCCTGCAGTGCTCCCGTGTGCCCTCTGCTCCCTTTGGTGGGTGCTCAGCACACCTGGGCACTCCAAGGCTCATTGCTGTCAGTGCTGCTCCCCTGCTTCTCACAGCTGCACCCACGGGGGATGAGGCTGGGCCAGCCCCATCCCTACCACACAAGCTGTGTGCCTACAAGGGACCTTTAAAGCTCACCCAGTCCCACCCCTGCCATGGGCAGGGACACCTTCCACTGCCCCAGGTTGCTCCACGCCTGTCCTGGAACACTTCCAGAGACGGGCAGCCACATCTTCCCAGGGCACTTGCCCTAACTTGCTGCTGGGAGCTGAGCCCCAGGCTCACCCTCCTCCTTACCTGGAGAATTTTGCCGTAGGGTGCGAAGGAATCATCCAGGTATCGGGTGCCGAAGCCCATGATCCTGTTCACTGCCTGGCTGCAGATCCCCGCCACCGTGGCGGTGAGATGGACCGTGTAGGCAAACTGGATCTCCTGGGGGTTGACGTTGGGCCTGCTGGCTGTCAGCTCCCTCTGCACGTAGGCGTCAGCCAGGTTCTTGAAGGAGCTGTAGGACATGTCCCTGAAGAACAGCTGCAGCCGCGCGTCCTCCCTCACCTGGTTGGGAGACAAGAGGGCACACGTCGTGAGGGAAGGGCTCCGTGTGCCACCCTCGTGCTGACACCTTCACCCCACACCAGGACCCTCGTGCTGACACCTTCACCCCCAGCCAGGCACAATCACACCCAGGCAAGGAATTAAAAGTTGGCGTTTCCTGATTTTCCTGGGTGTTTTCCTGCCCCAGGGAAATCAATGGTTTTGCTGTGTTTATTTTACAGCAGTGCAGAGCTTGGCCCGGATTCGCTCAGCCCCATCCAGCTCTCTCACCTCCCTGTCCAGCTCATCTCCTGCACTCCGGAGCAGAGCAACAATTCTCTTGATGGCTTCATCTGTAGAGAGAGACACCAGGTTATCTCCAGCCCTTTCTCCAAGCCTCATCTAGATGCTCTGTTTAGTCCCCAGGAAAAATTCCTTGAGCAGTGTTTATCCACCTCCATCCTTCCAAAACCCATTTCAGCCTATTTCCATGTGCCTTGTTACCCTTGTTACCCTCAGACAGAAAAATACTCTTTTACCCCTGAATTTTGTCTTTTTTGTGGTCTAGTGGAAGGTGTCTCTGCCCATGGCAGTGGGGCTGGAATGAGGCATTCTTTAAAGTCCTTTCCAACCCAAACTCCATTCTGGGGTTCTGTGAATCTCCCTCTCCCCCAGTCAAACCCTGATGCTGAAAATCTCCCACCAAGTCTCCATCCAGCTCTGGGGGTTACAAAAGCCCCAGGCCCAGGCCTGAAGCAGGGGTGGATGCCATGCAGACTCTGCAGGGGACAAGTCTTCCCCACGTTTGTTTCCAACACTCACCGACCCCGTCGGTGCCGGGGGGCTCTGGGGGCTCCCCACGCTCTCCTGCTGTGTCCCCCCGGCTCTCGCCGCCCTGCACGATCAGCCCGATGTCCTGGGACACCTGGGTGTAGCATCCGTCGGGCTGCTCCGCCTCTGCCAGACACAAACACAGACCCAGGAGTGAGGACTGGCTCTGCCAGAGCTGCCCACCCCGGATCAGCGCATTCCAAAGGTGAAGGAAGCAGTGGACCACCTGCCCTGAATCCTCCAGAGCTCCCCAGGGGTCCCCGGGCAGGGTTTTGGCACAGGAAGGGCTGGGCTGGGGATGGTGTCCTGCGGGCTTTGCCTGCTCCCAGCCCCAAGGCCAACCTCAAGAAGCTTAACATTGGCCCTAGAGTGGCTTGGGATCTAATCTCAGGTTTTAACTAAACCACCGTGACCCTTGGCTGCCAGAGGAGGAAAGCTCACCCTTGGGTGATAACTGCCCACAGCTGACTTGGGGTGACTGTGCCCAAAGCACGGGCACAACGACCCTTCCTGGGGCAGCAGCTTGGGTTGGAGTCTCCAAAACCTCTCCCAGGCCCCAGAAAACCCTGGGAGGGCGTTAGAAACCAGCACTAAACACCATGGCTCTCCCCAGGGAAGCCCAGCAGGGCCCTGCTGGCAGCAGGGCTGGGCCAGGGCTGGGTCGGGTCCCACCTGGCTGGGCTGGGGCCAGGACGTGCCGCAGGGGAAGGCAGCTGGGGCGCTTGCTCCTCGCCCCGGATCCCGGCTCTCCCCGCTCCTCCTCCCCGTGCTTCTTCAGGGAGAAAACCTTCTTGAGGCTGGGTTTCTTCTTCAGGGCTCTGCCCAGCGCTGGGGACGTGCTGGAGTCTACTCTGTGTTTTTTGGCTCCTTCTGGTTTGGAGCCCTGATTTTTGACATCTTTCTCCTTTGCTTTTTGCCCTGTGTTTTCCTTCTGGTCCTCAGGGCTCTTCTTCAAGAAGAGATTTAGGAAACCTTTCAGCCAGACTGGTTTTGAACCCGAGCGCTGTGTTTTGCTCTGGGAAGAGTTCTTTGTGCTTTTCCTCTTGGCTTTCAGCCCCTCTTTAGGCACCTCCTGGGCGGCTTTGCTGTCATCACCCAAAGTCTCCTCCAGGTCTGGTGTTTTGAGTCTCTCCTCCTGGTCCTTCCTGGGGCTGGGTTTGGCACTTGAGTACGTGCAGAAATCACTTTCTGACCGTTGTAGCCCATCCGTTTTCCTCCCTCGCCCTCTGTCTTTCTCCTGGAGGGTTTTTTTGGCCACCAGTGAGTTTTCATGGCAGCTCAGTGAGCGCCTGACATAAATCTCCAGCACCTTCTTGGCCTCTCGCCTGTCCAGAGAGAGGATCTTGCCCGACGGCTGCCGCCCCACATCCCACCGAGGCATCTCCTCAGCCGGAGCCCGAGTGCTGCTGTGGAGAAAAACAACATTTTCAGCCTGGTTTTTGCCTTCCCCAGGCGGCTGCACAGGCAGGTTGGGCTGGATGGAAACCTGCCCCGTGCTGGCACACAGGGGTGCTGTGGGTGTCTGGGGTCGTTAACGCTCCTGGTTAATGATCAGTCAGTTTTATGGTCGTTATCTGAGTGCTCCTGATGCAGATGGCTCACGCAGGGTTTTATAACCACAGACTCCTTGGTAAAGGAACCGAAACTGTGGAGAGGGGGAAGATGGGCTGGGCATATCCTAGAGGAGGAGCCTGCTCATCACCCAGGGGGTTTTATCCAGCAAGGACGTCACCCAGACACCATCCCATTATCCCATGGCAACTTGTTCCCACACCAACATGAAAAACCACGCCCCAGGAGCACCCAGTGAGCCACAGAACCCAGAATTCAGAGTATTTCCCCTTAAAGAATTGGCTGCTAAAAATCATTCCAACCCCTGGAGAGGCCAGGGGATGTGGGCTCCTGCAAGTGGCCTTGGTCACCTTGTGATGACACAGCCCTTCTGTGAGCTCCCACCAGCACAGGGCTGGGAACAGAGCCCAGAGCACCAACCCCTGCCTTTCCCACCACCCTTTTTCTCTACACCTATAAGCAAAATTCAACCAAAGACACTGCTATTGGGAAACCAGAGAGCCAGGATGGTGCCTGCCTCATACTGATTTTACTTCCATAACCAATTTTACCCTTCAAAGAACCAGACCCAAACCAGACTTCTCCACCCCTGAACAGCACACGGGGAACCAGCACCAAAATCTGGCACACTTGGCTGTACAAAGCACCCTGGAGTTGGGCATCAGCCTCTGCTGAGATCCAGAGATCATCACAACACACAGCACACCCACCCACCCCACCTCAGCCTGCTTTTGTAATCAAAAAATCAGTTCCCTTCATCCGAGCCAGCACCAAAGCCCACCAAACCCCCAATAAAAAATCATCCCACTAAATTTACTCATGGCAAAGCCACAATCCCCACGCTACTTTGGTTGATTCCAATACATTGACCACAACATTGGCTATTTTCTGGTTTGTTTTTTACCTTTCCATCACTTTTTGTGCTCCTTTGGACACAGCTCAAGATGAGCTCCTGGGCCACGGGCGCTGAGGGATCCCAGGCTCTCCTGGGAGGTGCCTTTTTATACCCTGGTGGCTGAGTTCACTCCTATTTTTAGCAGCCATCCAGGTAGGAGAGCAGCCAAGGCTTCCGCCTGGGATCCCCGCTATCACCACCCTCGTGGTGCAGATCAACGGGCGTGAGTTTCACTGGAGGAGAAAGCAATTTCCTTATGACAAGTAGCAGCAAAACAACATAGAATCACCTGTCACCTGCTGTAAGCACTGCCCTTTGAGACCAGCTATCTCAGGCAGCTGTTTGCCTTTGGGTTTGGTTTGGTTTCTTGTTTTTTACTGGGTGTGATGCCCGAAATGGGCTCCTCTGGGTTGTTTCTGTGAGGGGAAGTCACAGCTTTCTTGGATGAGCAGGGTTTCAGTGCAGGAAGCAGAGTGCCCTGCAGCTCCCGGGCGGATCCTGGGGGGCCACAGGCACTCTGGGACATGGCAATGTCAGGCTCCTGCACAACCCTGGGCATGGCTGGGCTGAAACATCCCTGAACCCACCCTGGGTTCAGACAGCTCGTGCTTCCACCCTAAAACACGAACCAGCTCTTGCCCCAAATCCTTCCCACTCCCATGGCTCCCGCTCAGCCTCACCCAGGGATGGAAAATCTCCCACCAGAGCCAGCCCAACACCTACAAACTGCACCCAGATCGGACACCAAAGCTCCTTTTGGCCACCCAGTGCCCCCTCCCGTGGCTGTGGCATCCTCCGGCAGGTGCTTCCCACCATTCCCCATCGCTGCTTTGCCATCTGATGGCAAAACCCCGCACTGCAGCTCGCAGGGATGGGGCGGCAGCCGCAGACACGCAGGCTTTGGAAAACCCCGTCTTGGAAAACCCCTCGGGAGCATTTCCACCACAGCAGCGCTGTTTTCAGCTGGAACTGATGTTCAGCCAAGGTGTCTCCTGAATTGAAATTTTCTTTTCCTGATACGGAGTTCAGCTTGCAGTCAGGGCTGTTTTGTTTCTCTTTCCATAAACTCTCTGTGCTGTAATTTCCTGTGACTGGGAGAGGTCCAGACTGCATCCCTTCATTTTTCCTGAGCCCACACGCCTGAATCAGAGGCTGGTATTGATCAGGAATTACCTGGCTCAGTTTTTCAGCACACCCATCGACTGATAAACGGGTGAGGAGCTTCCAGGCTGCTTCCCAGCTCTTGTCCACATCCTTCCAAGAGCAAGTCAATTCCAGGGGATGAGGAGGATTTTCACAATCTCTTTTTTTTTCCATTAAAAAAAAAAAAATCCACATCCACTCGGACCATGGGGGTCAGTTTGGAGATCTTTCTACTGGAGATTCCCCAAGGCTGAGTCCAAACACCATCCCTGCTCATGATTCCACTGATGCCTCTTCCAGACACAGCCAGAAGATGGGAGAGCCAAACTCCAGGAGAAATCTTCACCTAAAATGTGATTCAGGACTGAGACCTTTATCCAAGCTCAGATCCCTCCAGGATTTGGGACATGTTCAAACTAATGGGAGAGAGGCACAAGAAAAAGATGCAGGAGACTGAGATAAACCAAAATCCCATTACCAGAGTGGGGGCAAGAGATCTGCACCCAAACTTTTCATCCTCTTTTCTTATCAGTGCTGGGAGAGAACGAGGAAGCTGGCAGGAAATGCAGTGGTGAGGGGGGAGCACCCTGTGCTGGGGTTGGGGGGAAAAGCAGAACTAAACCCACGGGAACACAGCAGGGGATAAGCGGCTTCTGTGACAGAAATTGCTTCAGAAGACAGAAAAAAACCAAGGGAGAGGCATTCCCCACATGGAGCTGCAAGGCGTGGAGGTTCAGAAGGCAGGGCTCAAAGCCCCTGAATTCCTTGGGAAGACACAGCCTGAGACTGGACATCAGGAGAACTCTCCTGTGCAGGAGGCTGGGACAATCTCCCGTGGGTGTCTGGAGGGGTTGGGAAACACCTCCCTTGAGAGTCTTCTAGGCTTGGCCAGCCACAGCCACAGCCAACCTAACCCAGTGTAGGAGGCCACTGTGTTTGGTGTTGACCACAAAGATCCCTTCAAGCCAACAGCCAACCATGAGTCATCAACAGCCACGAGCCACCAGCCAGCCACGAGCCACCAAACAGGCACTGGGCACAAAAACACAGCAGCTGCAGATCTGATCCATGATGGTGCTGAGGAGGGAAGAATACGACCCATGGTGGGGGTGTGGAGGGGAACACCTGGACCATGGTGAGGTGTTGAGGGGAACACCTGGACCATGGCAGGGTGTTGAGGGCAGCCACTGCTCCCTGCCCCAGCCAACCCATGGCCTCAGTGGAAACCTCTCAGCCCAGTTCTGCAGTTCCTCTGATCCAAGAGGGTGGTGGGCACCAGCCCCCAAAGCAAATCCACTTTTCCTCCAGCCCTGGGTGTGGTTTTAGCTGCTTCTCCCAGCAGATGAGCAACGTGCAATGCCCTGCCCCAAACACCAGCAGATGTGGGGCTGCTGAAGGGTGGCTGATGTTCTGCAGGGAATGAAGCACCTGGAAACCTCTGGGAAAGCCCACATGAGGGACCTGTCTGTGTTTCACAGCCCCTGAACCCCAGCCATGCCAAAAGTCACCGAGAGCCGTGTGCTGTCCCTCCCCACACCCCCACACCAAACTCCTGGCACAAGAAGTGGTTATTTCGCTGTTTACTGACAGGGATGGGTTCCTGTTCCAGGAAAGCTGCAGGTTTACAGCCCTCCTGCCTCTGTTTGCCACAGGTATTTCTCCAGGAGGTGCATGAAAGCTTCCTAGGAGCATGGACAAAGTTCATCATTCCAACCCACCCTTCCAAAGGTGCCCTTGGATTGTCACTGCCTAAGACCCCTCCAGAGCTGCCCAGGGAGGCACAAGGTGGGTTGAGGGTTTTTGGCAGCTTCCCAGCCAGGAAAGGAAATCCCCAGCCAAGCCCAGAGTGATCTTTAGTCACCACGGGAAAAGCAGGTAAAGAGAGGTCACCTCACACACTCCCTGTGAGCACAGCACAAGAGCCAGGGCCACCAACTGCCACCTGCTCCAACAAAACAAACACAGGTGGAAGAAGCAGTGGGATCCTCAGGAGCCATCAGGGCTGGCTCTGTTGCAAGAAAGTGGAGTGGAAAGAGGAGATCAGGAAAAAGGCACCCATGGGTGCGTATCCCAGGAGTGGCACAGGGCACAGATGTCACAGCTCCCAAGGAAGATCTGCTGTCCCACAGGATTTCACCCCGAGAAAGGTTTGGTTTGACCCTTCCCTGGGACAAAAAGCATCCTTTGGGGAAGGAAGGACGAGGTGCTTCACTGCACCTTCCTGCTGTGGAGCATCCCCAGGCTGCAGCTGGGTGGGTGCTGGCAGCCTTTAGCCCCCTCTCTTAGCAGGGACTGTGGCCTCCCCTCCCAGCCAGGATCTCCCCCAGGCTGTGACCTCACACTCATTTGCCCCACTAGAGCTCCTCGTTTCCTTCTCCTCCCCCACTCAAATTTTCAAGCACCTCTGCTCTGCCACTGAGCTGGTGATTTCTCCTGGAACTGAATCTCCTCAGGCAGCTCTCCAGAGATGTGGCACTGCTGAAGCTTTGCCATCCAGCCACCACCCATCCCACCACTCTCTCTTACTGGCTACTGCCCACCTAGCATCTCCAGGCTGCAGGTGTAAAGCAGTTTTGCAGGACCAAGACCAGTTACAGCCAAAGGGACTGTAATTTCAGGCTGGCAGTAACCAGTTTTGGTGGAAACCTCATGGTGAAACCACGTGTTTGTGCTGTGCTCACCCATCAGCTGCTGAGCAGCTCAGACTGGTGGCCTCTGGCTTAGCAGCTGCCAAAAGATGTTGGGGAGGAGATCTGGGTGCCCACAGGAGCTGGTTTTAAATGAGGAAAGCTTGGATTTCCCAGTTTCAGACCTTCAAACAGAAAGAAGTGAGATTTTCAACCTTACAGTCACAGCATTTTATTTCCTCTGTGGAAAGAGAAGTGAAAATAGTAGTGGATATTTTCTATTTTCACACTCACACACAGACACCGTTCACTTCAGGTATTCCTGCTTCAAATTCAAAACAAATAATCACATATCTGACCATGGGTGGGGTCACATTTGTTACTGGCTTTGTTTCTTTTCACATTATTTAATCACAAAAGTAATTACAAAAGTCATTACCTGGAGGGAAAGGAGTTAAAGTGAATATCAGCTATGGGCAGCCATGGAGCTTCAGCCAGGCCTGATCAGGCAGGTATTTCAGCACACTCCTAACCTCAATCCCAGGAGCAATCTCAGAGCAGACAGAGATTCCAGCACGCTGCAGTCTGCAATGTGCCCTGCTCACAGCTGGGCACAGCTCCCACTGCCCAGGCAGAGCAGCAGGTGCTCACGCTCGTGCTCTGCTCTGCTCTGCTCATCTCCCTGGAGGAACAGAGGGATCTTTTCCACAGGTTTGGACCTTAAAGACAAGCATCAAAATTTCAGAGCAAAAATGTCACATTCCCTCCCACAGGGAAGGAGAGGAACCAGCAGAAGGCCAGCCCACACATCCCCCTGTGCCCTTGGGGCTGGGGACAGCTTCTGGGTGTGTTTTGCTAATGAAACCCCAGAGATGTCCCAGATTTGGCTCGCAGAAGGCTTTGAAATCCAGGCCAGCTCCATGGCCTTCTGTCCAGGAGAGGCAGGAGACACCAGCACTGCCCAGCAAAGCACAAGGTCCCTGTCATGCACTGAAGTGAAGCCTCCAAAGATTTACTGTGGTGAAACCTCCAGTGGGTCTTCCTTCAAATCTTCAGGGTCCTCACTCTCCAGCTGCTCCAGTTTGCTGGATTTCTCATGGCCAGCCTCCCCAGGAGTCTTCAAAAACCTGAAATACATTTCTGTGATGACTTCAGGGGCACATCCAAGCCCAGCCCCAAACCAGGCTGTAAATGCTGGAGCTTTTGCCCTCAACAAGGCCAGGTTGGACAGGGCTTGGAGCAACCTGTGAGAGTGGAAGGTGTCCCTGCCCATGGCAGGGGGTGGAATGAAAGGAGCTTTAAGGTCCCTTCCTCCCCAAACCCTTCTGTGAGTCTGTGATCAGCTGAGCCCTGGAGCTCAGAGGGGATTTGCCATCCTTGGGCTTTGCTGAGGATCCCAGGAAGCACTGAGGTCTCAGCTGGACAGGACAGAGCTGGACACAAACCCACTGAGGATGCTGCTGGATGAAGCAGCTGCCAACATCTGGGGCTCATCACCTTTCCACGCCCCATCCATGCTGTCCCAGGCAGCTCATTTCTCTGCTCTGCTTCACCTCACCTGAACAACAGCTTCTGCCCTGGCTCCTTTTTGATGATGTTGAGTTTGTAGTAGTGTCGGAGTGCTCGTGACATCTTCTCATAGGTCATGTTCATCCGGTTCTGGAAGGGGAACAGGAATGTGGGGTGTTGAGCAAAAGCGAGCAACAGCTCTTGGTCTGGCTCTGTGTGCAGCAGGGCCACACGTGGGACATGTGAGGAGGTTTGGGGCATCGTGGGTCTGTAGTGTGGGTCCCTAACCCAGACTGCCCTCATGGTTTCCTTTCCAAGGGGTGAGCAAGTCCCACTGTCACCACCAGGCTGGCATCTCTCACCAACCCTGCACCCCCGTGTCCCCCAGACCAAGGGAGCAGCTCACAAAAGGGACACTCAGGGGTGACAAATTCCTTCTCAGGGACGCCAAATTGCCTCTCGGCTGCACTGACCTTGTGGTTGCCCCAGAGCTGGGCCAGCCCGTTGGGGTTGACGACGCGGAACACCTTGGCCTCCCTGTCCTCCCACCTGATGTAGGGCTCGTAGCGGCGGTCGGCCAGCAGCTGGTACACGTACTCCCAGAGCAGCCTGCAGTCTGGGCACAGGGCACCTGCTGCTCCCAGAGCTGCCACCGTGCTCAGCCAGGCTGCCCCAGCAGCAGGGACGCGCGTTTAGCAGCGACAATAAATGTGAGGAGAAATCAGAGCTCGGGCACGGCAATTTCACTGCGAGATCTCAGAGCAATTACAGTTTTTCAGGTGGGGAAACTGAGGTGGAAAAGCACGGAATGAGGGGAAGGGAGACAGATGGGCAGACAGGACAAAGCACCATCCCATTTCCCCAAGGAACATGGCTATAAATTCATCATTACCTGCAATTTTCCCATCCACTGGGGCTGACAGGGTAGCAGGAAAAGAGCAGATGGCACCTGGCCTGCAGCCACTCTCTGAGCTGTGGTGGGAGAGGTTCAGGGGCTGCGTGTGGCTGTGGAACAGGGGCTGCTCTGCACAGCCCAGCCGCGAGGAAACAACTGGGCCAGCCTCAGCACTGCAGTCTGCACCTGCAAAAAAAAAACCCTAATAAGCACCCTGTGGCTCAGTAGGGTCCCAGACCTTGCAAAGCCCTGAAACAGGAGGGGAGGGACAGCCCGGGGTGGTTATCAGCCTGGGACCAGCCCAGCAGAGGAAAGCCTGGGATTTCCCTAAGGCTGCAGAAGCACAAAGTCATGGGGGGTTAGAGGAGATGCCAGCTAGGGTAAGGGTCAGATGCCGAAGAAAAACTGGCATAGGAAAAGGCCCCAGAGCACAAGCATCCCCTGGAAAATTGCTGTGGAGAATTAATGTGTTAATTACCTCGCACAGGACACAGGAAAGTGCTCCCAGATGCATCTCCACACACATCCAGCCCCTGACACCAATCCAACCCCACCCTAACTCCTACCTGGGCCCCCCAAGGGCACAAAGAAGCCTCACTGGCCCCCACCAGCCTCACCTGGGCCCTCTCCCCACCCCACCCACTGACCCAGAAGCTCTGTGGAAGCTCAGCCCAGCTCCTCAGCCCTTTCCCAGTTGTTGCAGGACTAGTCTCCAGCAGGGCTGTGCCTCTGCCTGGCTTTGACCATCCCTGATCCAAATCTCAACCTGCAGGCAGACTTTTTAGGGAAGTCACAGCCTTGCCAGTCTGCCACAGACCCCCACAGCACCGGTTCTGACCTGCTGCATCACTACAAACTCCCCAGGTGACCTGGACTTTGCTGGGCCTGGTTGCCTCTCCCAGGTGGCGTGGGATGGTTTCACAGGCTGAGCTCCAAGCCCAGGTTCTGCCTGCTGGACACTGCCATTCTCCCAGGAGATTTTTCTCCCCTCATACCTTCCTCTGTGCTCCTGGCTTTCCTGAAGGGTGAGTTCAGCAAGGGGCTGCACACCAGCACTCTTCTCTGAGTTTTAATGAACTGGAGTATTTCATAAAGCACGTCCCCTGCAGGGAAGGAAGCTCTGCTCAGATGCCTTTGGGCAATGGTGCCTCTCAGGTAACGTTGCTGAGATTCTGAACTACACAGCGTGGGGTTCTTCCCCGTCCTAAAGTACTTGCAGATCAGATGGACCAGAGAAAGGAAGAGCTGTCCTCATCTCCAGCATAAAACCCACTCTGCTGGGACCCACTGAGTGCTCTCAGCAGAACACTCCTTTGTCATATTTACATTCTCTGAAAAATCCTTTTGCCCAGGGTTTTTCTCCTGGGAAGCTGAGAAGCCTCAGAGAAAAAGGAAAACAATATTATCTCATTTGCTTTTCCTGTGTTTTGCTCCTTTGGAAGGTGTTTGGAGGTTGTTTCTTTAGATTCTGGTATGAGTTGTTTTGACTCTTTGGCCAATCAGTACCAAGCTGTGTTGGGACTCTGGAGAGAGTTACGAGTTTTCATTATTATCTTTTTAGAATTCTGTAAGTATCCTTTCTATATTCTTTAGTGTAGTTTAGTATAGTATTCTTTAATATAATATAGATCATAAAATAATAAATGAGCCTTCTGAGAACATGGAGTCAGATCCATCATTCCTCCCTGCCACGAGGGTCCCTGCAGATACAATTCTCTGGGATGGTGCTCACAAGCCCCTGGCTCTAACCTGAGCTGGGAGCTCGGTGTCTGAAGTCGTCCTTGGTGAGGATGCACAGGGCTTTGCCGTTCATTTCAAACTTGCTCTGCTCCGTGGGCCGCAGGGAATATTCCTCCTCAGCCCATCGCAGCCAGTGGATCACATCCTCCTTGCTCCACAGGGAGGGCTGGATTCCTGAAACCAGGAAAACAGCTCTCTTCTCAAAACTGCTGAGTGGCAGGGTGGGGCTTCTTCTCCATCACCAAACTTTCCCTCTACATTAAGCACTCACAGGTCAAAAACACCACAAATAGAGAAAATGACCCCTGAGGAAGCCTTGTGCCCCTTGCCAGCAGGGAATGGTCCCTGGGTGGGACACCATGGCTGTACCCACCCTGTCCCACCCCATGGCAACTCCTTTCTGGGCAGCACTGACTTGCTTAACTTCTACTCACTCAGCCTCCCTGGAAGCCTGAAGATCTGCCCGGTGCTGATGGGTGAGGGTCTGCCCTGGGATGGGGGTGGCACCGACACGGCCACCACGGGGCTGGAAGAGCTGATGGCCACTTTGCCCTGCAGAAAAGATCAGATACATCAGTGGGGGAAATTCTGGTCCTGCCTTTGCTTTGGAGGTGCCTCCATGTCCTGGATTGCCAGGCAGATTGGATTCTCTTTGCCATCCGGATGGCAGTTGGACACCTGGCTTTCCAAACCAAGACACTCACCTGCTCCAGTATTTCCTAACTGGTTTCTTATAGCAGTGTGATGTGACCTGTGTTGTTGTTGTATTAAGGGTGGATGAATGAAGTGACATAAATAAACTCTTAGGTTTTTAGAAGGTAAATATAAATTTTATTAGACACTAGATATTCTTTTATAGATAGTTATGATAAAGTTGGATTTGATTGGTCTTTAATTTATACTCTTTATACTATTGGTTAATTAGGAATAACATCCTTCTTGCAAATATTTTATAAGTAAATAGTATGTTTAAAACGCTTGTTGTAAAGATTAAGGATTGTTTTAATTCCGCCTCTGATCTTTCTCAAACTTCCCAGAGAAATGCTTGGGAAAGTTTATCTGACTCTTTCTCTGACCAGACTTTCAGCAACCACAGAAACCATAATGTGTTGTCTACAGCTCTTCCTCTCACTTTTCCATACCCCTGGTTGCCAAGAGATCCCATTCTCCAGCTCTTTAGCAGAGGAACCTGCCCTCATGCAGGCTCTGGATGGATTATCCATCCCCACTCCCCATGGGAAGCAGGAGATGGAGCTCAGGCTGGCAGAGCCTGCAGTGCCTGTGCTCCTGCAGGACCCTCTGATGCTCGATGGATGCTCAAGGTTCCAGAAGAGCACTTCAGTTCTCTAGAGCCGTGAAAATAAACCTGGCAACAGTGCTTTGATTTTGTCTTGAAAGGAGAGGGGTCTCTCACTCTGTCCCCAGTGATCATTTGGGCATAAGTGGAAGTGGCCATCCCATGGTTTGGGGAGATGCAAGCTCCTCTTGCTCACCCTCCATGGAGTTCTGGCCCCCTCAAGAATTACTTTTCCCCCTCAGCCAGGCATGTGAGCCAGAAGGGAGCTCAGATCCTGCTTCCAGCCACATCTACATCTTGAAATATTACTGGCAGCCAAGCAGATAATGTTTCCCCTTAAAAACCTATTAATGTGAATCCCAGCAATTTCTCAGCTTCACTCACTGGAAAATTAACAATTTTGCTGTCAAATGGTATTTTCTGAAGCAGTTACCAACCCTGAGCACTCAGGCTCAGGCAGGCTTTTGCAGGTGATTTAGAGCAGCCAACTGTGTGTATGGGCAGAGTTGAGCCCTCTGAAAATGAGGGTGAGGAGATGGGAGCTGGACACAAATGCAAAGCTGAAGCTCCCAAAATCAGGAGAAGAGGAGACAGGAGCAATACAGTGCATCAGTCCAGGGAAAAATGCTTCCCTGGGAGTTACAGCAGGAGGAAGGCAGCAGGTGGTGAGAGGATTTCTTCAGCAGAAGGACAATTTGGTGGTCACTGGATTGGATTTAAAAAGCAGGCAGCTACATGACACTGCATGAGGAGAAGAGTGAGACCCCAGAATAAACTCTGAGCAGGCTTGGCAGCAATGCAAACTGTCTTTCAGATTCACTCTAAGCAATAAGCTATGGGGAAAATAAAAGTGAAAGAAATCAGCAGTGTATTTTGTCTAGAACGCTCTAAAAGTTATTTTAATTTTCTCCCATCGATGTGACTCTCTTAGAAACGAAATTTACAGTAAAACCCGAACAAATCTGGTATTTTTCTTGCTCCTAAAGATTTCTAGGCCTCAAGATACATTCTGAATTTTTATTATGTTATACTAATTTTATGTTCTTTCTTTTATCCCTGCTTAGCTGCTTTCAGACTTTTCTGAGATGGCGTTTGTTTTTTTTTTGCTTCAAGAGGAAATATTGTCCCTGGGGATGTTCGAGCGGGAAGGTGAGAAAAAGCAGGGTGAAAAGGAACCCGCGGATGTGTGAGAGCAGCTTTTTGCTGAGAACCAAATGCGGGAACAGAGGCTCCCGGCTGCTCCGGGCTTCGTGAGCCCGCTTGGAGATGGGGCAGGGGCTCACCCCCGGGGCATGAAGCTGCAGCCCCGGCTGAGGAGGAGAAATCCCGAGCGGGCCGGGGTGGGGAGGACAGTCCCGAGGACAAGGGCCGGGCTCCTACCTGCATGGCCGTGGGGTGCGAGCGGAGCCCGGCCGCGCCCGCAGCGCTCCGCTCCCGTCCCCGCGGCGATCCCGGCGGAAAGCGAAATCGAAAGGAGCCCCGGGGGGACGGAGAGCGGCGGGGGCAGCGCCCGGGGCCGCGTCCTGATCCCCCCGCCCCGCTCCGCCCGGTACCGGCAGCGCCGGGAGAGCTCCGCCGGCGGGATGGAGCCGAACCGGCACCGAACCGGCACCGCACCGGGACCGAACCGGGACCGAGCCGGCACCGCACCGGCACCGCACCGGCACCGAACCGGGACCGAGCCGGCACCGAACCGGGACCGAACCGGGACACGCCGGGAGCAGCTCCGGGAGCGGGGCTCAGCCTTCCTGACCGCCGGGAGGGAGGGGAGAGGGGGGGAAAGAGGGGAAGGGGATAAAGGGGAAAGGGGGAAAGGTGGAAAGGAGGAAAAAAGGGGGGGAAGGGGGAAAAGGGGAAAAGGGAAGGGGGAAAGGGGGAAAAGGGAGAAGGGGAAAGGGAGGAAAGGGGAAAAGAGGATAAAGGGGGAAAGGGGGAGAAGGGGGGAAAGGGGGAAAGGGAGGAAAAGGGAAAAGGGAGGAAGGGGAAAGGAGAAAGGGAGAAGGGGAAAAGGGGGAAAGGAAGAAAGGGGATAAAGGGGGAAAGGGGGGAAGCGGCGCACCGGTCCCGGAGCAATGCGAGGTACGAGCACACCTGGAGGGTGCCCGCCTGCCCCCGCGCACACCCGGGGATGTGGGGACACGCACGATGTGGGGTTCTAGGGGCAACTGGGAGGGGCTGGGATGGGCTCTGAAGGGACTGGGAGGGACAAAAAGTACACTTTTAGGAACAAAAGGGGCACTGTGAGGCGACTGGGAGGGGAAATGGGATAGACTGGGATGGACTGGGAGTGACTGGAAGAGATTTGGAGGGTACTGGCATGGACTGGGAGTGAGTGGAAGAGAGTTGGAGGGGATTGAATGGGATTTGGGAGGGACTGGACAGGACTGGGAAGGACTGTGAGGTACTTAGGGACAAAAAAGGCACTGGGAGTGGACTGTTAAGGCACTGGGATAGACTGGGAGGCGCTGGGACAGGGTCGGATGGGACTGGGAGGGACACGAAGAGTACTTTTAGGAGCAGAAGGGGCACTAGAACGGCTCTAGAACCACTGGGGGCACCGGCATAGACTGGGATATACGGGGATGGACTGGGAGGCGCTTTTAGGGACAAAAAGGCGCTTGTGGGAGGGAACTGGGCTGAACTGGGAGGGAACTAGGAGGGAACTGGGCTGGACTGGGCGGGACTGGGCTGGAAAAGGGGAAAAAGGGAAAAAAAGGGGAAAGGGGGGAAAGGGGAAAAAAGGGGAAAGGGAGGAAAGGGAGGAAAGGGAAAAGGGAGGAAAGGGGGAAAAGCAGAAAGGGGAAAGGGGTTCTAGGGGCAACTGGGAGGGGCTGGGATGGGCTCTGAAGGGACTGGGAGGGACAAAAAGTACACTTTTAGGAACAAAAGGGGCACTGTGAGGCGACTGGGAGGGGAAATGGGATAGACTGGGATGGACTGGGAGTGACTGGAAGATATTTGGAGGGCACTGGGATACACTGGGATGGACTGGAAGAAATTTGGAGGGTACTGGCATGGACTGGGAGTGAGTGGAAGAGAGTTGGAGGGGATTGAATGGGATTTGGGAGGGACTGGACAGGACTGGGAAGGACTGTGAGGTACTTAGGGACAAAAAAGGCACTGGGAGTGGACTGTTAAGGCACTGGGATAGACTGGGAGGCGCTGGGACAGGGTCGGATGGGACTGGGAGGGACACGAAGAGTACTTTTAGGAGCAGAAGGGGCACTAGAAGGGCTCCGGAACCACTGGGGGGCACCGGCATAGACTGGGATATACGGGGATGGACTGGGAGGCGCTTTTAGGGACAAAAAGGTGCTTGTGGGAGGGAACTGGGCTGAACTGGGAGGGAACTAGGAGGGAACTGGGCTGGACTGGGCGGGGACTGGGTTGAACTGGGCCGGACTGGGCGGGACTGGGTTGAACTGGGCCGGACTGGGCGGGCTCCGCTCCCCGCGGGAGCCAAGCCCTCTCGCCCCGCCCCCTCATGCTTTCTTGGTTTCTATTGGCAAATTGGGGAGCCAATCACGGATCTGGCCCAATCAGAGGGCGGCGTGGGCGGCGGGCGGGTCTCAGGGGCGGGGCCCCGCCCACCGCCCGCCTGAGGGAGCGGCCGCGGCGGGGACGCGGTGAGTGCGGCCTCGGGGGCCGGGGGGCGGCCGCGGACCCTGCGGGGCTCTGCGGGCCCCTTCCCGCTCTCCTCTGGGCTTCTGGGGGTCTTCTGCGTGCCCTCGGCGCTTTGAGGGCGGTTACGGGCCCTGGGGCGCGCTCAGTGCGCTCTGTGTCCGGAAAAGGGGTTGGAGGGGGGGCTTTCCTGGCCCAGCGGGCACAGAGGAGAGCGCGGGGCCGAGAGGGGCCTGGGGGGTCACAGGAAACCCGGGGGTGGGGGCTGAGGGGCTCGCTGAGGGTCACGGGGAGCTCCGTTGTTGTGAATTAGCTTTGGAGGGGGTTCGGGGCTGTCTGGGGATCACAGGGGACGTGGATGAGGGGTCTGGGAGGTGTCTGGTTATCACAGGGGATGTGGGGGTGTCTGGGGGTCACACAGGGTGTGCTGGAGTGGGCTGAGGGAATGTTTGGGGGTCACACAGGGTGTGCTGGAGTGGGCTGTGGGGCTGAGGGAATGTTTGGGAGTCACACAGGGTGTGCTGGAGTGGGCTGTGGGGCTGAGGGGGTGTCTGGGGGTCACACAGGGTGTGCTGGAGTGGGCTGTGGGGCTGAGGGAATGTTTGGGGGCCACAGTGGACCCTGTTATTGTGAATGTGCTTTGGAGGTGCTGGGAGAGCTTTGGGGGCTGCTCTGAGGGTGCCTTGTGTGCACTGAGGGGGGCTGTCTGTGAGGATGGGCGTGCTGCCACTTTGTAGTGTTTATTCACGAAGGGGGTCTCCTACACTGTGTGTTTGCTGGGGGCTGGCACTGTTATCCCCAGGTCAGCACTGCATCCTCGTGTCCCAGACGTGTTCCCATTTTCCTGGGCTGTGTGTGAGGCCGGGGCTGTGCCCAGTGCCCCGTGCTGTGCCCACCACCCCCAGGATGGACCCAGCCTCCCCTCGGGGTGCTGGCTGGACACACACCACCCTCCCACACGTGTTCTGGGGCTGTAGGCTGGTGCAGTGTTCTTCTTAAACACGTTTTTAAGCTGGAGTTAACCTTCCTTTTCATCCCTCATTTCTGGCCCCACTGTGCTTTGGAAGGAGCAGGAATTTCTGAGGGGTTTTCCACTGAATGGATGAGTGGGTGAGACCTCAGCCCACCTCTTAGGCACAGTTTTGTGTCAGCTGTGGTCCTGCCTGTCTCTGTTCTGCCATCTCAGTGACCTGAGGCTCTTCAGGGAAGGGATGATAAAAATGCAGTCTTGGGTATGAGGTTTAATAAGACCAAGGTCCAGGTGCTGCATCAGGGTCAGGTCAGCCTCCAGTATCAATCCAGGCTGGGAATGAAGAGCTGGAGAACAGCCCTGGGAGAAGGACTTGGGCATGAGCTGCTTGGACGTGCCCTGGTCAGGAGTGTTGGACGCAGAACCCCCAGAGCCCTGGGCTGCTCCCCAGCGTGGGCAGCAGGGACGGGGGGGTTCTCTTCCTCTGCCCTGATCTGGTGAGACTCCACCTGCAGAGCTGCCTCCAGCCCTGGGGTCCAGCACAGGAAGGGCATGAAGCTGTTGGAGGAGACCACTGAGATGAACAGAGGGATGGAGCAGCTCTGCTGTGAGGAAAGGCTGAGATTTGGGGTTGTTCAGGCTGGAAGAGAGAAGGTTTGGGGTGACTGTATTGTGGCCTTCTGGGAGCTGAAAGGTGGAGATAAACTGTTTACAAGGGCCAGGAGTGGCAGGGCGAGGGGGAAGGGCTTCACCCTGACAGTAGATTTAGATGGAATATTGGGAAAAAATTCTTCCCTATGAGGGTGGTGGGGCCCTGGCACAGGTGCCCAGAGCAGCTGTGGCTGCCCCTGGGTCCCTGCAAGTGTCCAAGGCCAGGCTGGATGGGGCTTGGAGCAACCTGGGACAGTGGAAGGTGTCCCTGCCATGGGGAGGGTGGAACAGGATGAGCTTTAAGGTCTCTTCCCACCCAAACCATTCTGGGGTTCTGTAAACCTGGCAGATTGAGAACCTCTGTTCTCATCAGGGAGAGTGTTTTGAATTGTTTTGCCGGGGTTGCTGTAACCCAAATGGTGTTGTAGCTGTAGATTATGGCTTTAAGGCAGAGAGGTCACCTGTGGTCCCTGTGAGAGCCTTATCCTCAGCTCAGCCCCAGTCCTTCCTGCTGGCAGTAGCAGCAGCCACAAACAGCCTGTTGGAAGGAAGTTGTGTCTGGGAATCAAGGGGAACCCTGAGCTTTCCCTGTTCAGGTGTGTCCTTGTTTACCCTGTGCAGGCTGCACTGCTCACAGTCACCTGGCTTGGAGGGTTATAAATACCTCAGTGCTCAGTTCTCAGAAGTGTTTTCAGTGATCTGAGCTTCAAAACATTGAATTATTTCGGTCAGGAACTGTGGGTTAGTGTGTGGGGTTATAAATACCTCAGTGCTCAGTTCTCAAAGTGTTTTCAGTGATCTGAGCATCAAAACATTGAATTATTTCAGTCAGGAACTGTGGGTTAGTGTGTAGGCAAAGCTGCTTGTGAGAGTTATTATTTTCCAGGCTGGATTTCCATGTGCCTTTATTATTATTCTGTTTAGGGAAGCAGCCACCTTTTGCTAAAATAAATACTCTGTTTATAGCATAACTCTGTATTTACATCACTAACAAATGCTCTTTTGCAAAGCAGCCTGTACAACAATTGTCTTTATTTTCCATAATAACATCCATGTTCTGATCTTATGCCTGGAATGCAGCAGCTTATGTAAACCAGGGGAAGCCTGTGCAGAAGACTGTGTCTAGACCTTCTTCACCTTATCTTAAAGCAATTAAGGACAGGTTAAAGTAAGTTCTGCTGTCATGAAAATAGGCATGTGCTGATTTTTTTTGTGTTTGTTTCAAGACATACTAATTTGCAGCATGTGAAATGCTTTTTGATATCTGTTGATGCTGTCTTCAGCTGCCAGAATTAAAGGGGATGAGTTTTGTGTTTGATTTGGGCAGGAAAGGAATGATCTTCCTGGTAGGAGTTCATTACATCATTTTATTTTGGGGGAGCTTTCTGTTTTGTGGTTGCTGTCTGTAAATGAGTGGAGTTCAGTGAGCTCAGTCAAGCTGCAGGGGCAGCTGGGAGAAGTTGGAGGTGAAAGAACCAAACTGGTTATT